TCTCACCGTCCGGTCTACCGGTCACTCCTATGGACTGTTCTGGACTCTCTCAGCTGAACTCACCTAGAGAGACTTACCTTCTGTTTCTCCCGCGATCCTCCAACGACTCCTTGGAAACTGTTCCACGATCTCCAACGTAACCGGCATCCGATCCTCACCATCAGAACTCAGATAAGCACCCTGGAACCATTCACTGTGTTTACACTCACCTGCCTTTTACTCACCTATTCCAGTCATCCCCTTACCCAGTCAATAAACCATCCTGATTTGCACTTACCTGTTGTGTCTGGCCTTGATTTGTGACACACACACACACACACACACACACACATATATATATATATATATATATATTATATAAATGAACATTGTGTGGTGTGTGTGTGTGTGTGTGTGTGTGTGTGTGTATACAATGTTCATTTTTTATAGCAGTACCAAAATAATACATAAAATAAACAGTAAATTAAATTGAATAATATAATAAAAATAAATCATTATACCTACATTTGGTGTGTATTCAAATTAAAATATAATGCTTCTACTGCATATAAAAATAAAATAGCTAGATTTACATTCTGAACAGCAACAAATGTAATTAACGTTAATTAATTTTTTTTTAATATATTTTAGCCTTATACATAATTATCATTTCACAATTATGATTTGTCATTTAAATATATATTATTTAACACAATGCATTTACATTTAGTACTGTATTCTTTGTTCAGCATCTATTTATATGAGCTTGTGCAAGGAGGAAAAGGAGGTTTTAAAGTTGTGTACAGTGTAAAAAATGATTTACCGAAGTTGCAAATAAAATAAAGATTATTGCAGAATACTTTACAAGAAAATACTATTTCAGTCTTTCTACTTCAAAGTTTCATGGTAAATTCAATGTTACAATGTGTTAATTGTTTTTGTAATTATTAGTACAATTTACTAGCAAAATTGTTTCTACACCATTTTTTTCCAGTGTAGCAATTTCTGGGCGAACAAGTAAATCGTGCACATTTTTTTTTTCTTCAGTTTACCACCCATGGCAGCACTGGCTGCTGGTGCAAGAGTCATTTGAGCAGCACATGGTGCTGCAGACGTACATAGTGGATTGCCACAGATGGTACGACTGCGCTGTACCGCATCCCGCAAGACGAGAGAGAACGTCAGCAGACTCAATCAAAGCCTCTACCATTAATCACGCCTGAACTGCACCAGAACTTTACTGCTTCACAGGAAGAGACTGTTCTAAATGTGCCATACGGGAGCCGGGCCAGAAGGAGTGTGTATGTGTGTGTGTGTGTCTGAAGGAAATTGTAAAAGCTGGGTCACAGTAATTTCAAAGCTGCTGATGAAGCAGTGTGCATTTGGGTGGCACAATTTACTTTAAGATGGAAAATGGGAATGTGTGTGTGTCAGTTACAGACTGAAGGTGTGTATGTGTTTGTGTGTGTGTTCTTACTTCATGCATCTGGAGTGCAGTTGGCAGCGTGCGACAGACACTCTCACCACGCAGGAGTGGAAGGCCAGCAGGAGCGTGTGACTGGGTTTGTCCAGGGTCAGAGAGAGAGGCTGCCTCGCCTGCACAGAGTCATCACCGCACCTACACACACACACACTGAAGTCATCAATACAACCCCTCATGCACTTTACCAACTAAACATTTCCTAGAACACGAATACGCACACTCATTAAAACCCAACAACTTCACATCAGTGTCTCCATGAGTCATGAGCACATTAACATACAGTTTGACCACCCACACTCAGCAGCAGGGCAGAGACATTCTAACTCATTTCACATGTGAGAAGGTTAGCCAATCACTACAAAGGTTATCTACATATAGAACTTACATATTGTATATGCCATTTACATGTAGTCTTAAAGGTACAGTAGCAAAAAGGGGTCAGAATTAAAAATGAATGAGTAAAACAAAAAAACCTAAAGAGATTTTAGTAGTGAAGAAAGTAGTGAATTATTCAAAATTCATTCTCTTTTATACACTTAATTGTGATATTGTGATGAAGAAAATTAACCAATATGATTTCCAGAAATTTCGATTTAGATCATTTAAACTATTTTTTATAATTTTACTAGATTATGTTTAGATAATAGGCTTTTTATTAACATTTACATGAAATACATTTGAACAATTTATTTTACTTACACTACAGTTTAACATGTTTTTAAAAGTAGTCTTATGCACACAACGGCTGCATTTATTTGTTGTAAAATATAGTAAAAACAGTAATATTGTGATATATTATTACAATTTAAAAGAACTGTTTTCTATCTGAATATATTTTAAAATGTAATTTATTCCTGTGATGCAAAGCTGAATTTTCAGCATCATTACTCCAGTCTTCAGTGTCACATGATCTGCCAGAATTCATTCTAATATGCTGATTTGCTGCTCAAGAAACACTTGAAATATAATTTCTGTGTAACAATGTAAATATCCTTACTGTCACTTTAAATCAACTAAATGCATTTTTGCTGAATAAAATTATCTTTTTTTTTTTTCAAAAGAAAAGAAAAAAAAAACATACTGACCTCAAATGCTTGAATGGTAAATGTATGGACCAACACAGAATGCATTACCTATTAAATTTATATGACTTATAATTTTGTAAATTCCACTTCCTGTCATTTAACTTTCTGTGGGGTGTGGCCAATTCAATTTCCAACTGAAGCAAGGCAAATTCTTAAACAGAATTTTGTCAAACCTTGTTCCCGATCCAATTTCCTCAGTCTCTCTTTCTCTTCAGTAAGCTCCTTTCGTCTTTCTACTGTCTGTGACTATAAAAAAGTGGCAAACAGCCCAAAAAAAATACACACTAAAAGAGATTCAGTCAGAGTTGGTCTTTTTCCAATACACATTAACTGTCAAGCTGCTAATAAGGCATTAAATTACTGCAACCTCTCTGATTAAATTACGACACTGAGAAACTCCCCAACAGTAGGTCTACATATATCAGACATGTAATCTAAACACTGATAAATAGCTGGGAGACAAATGAGACATATTACAGTAAGTTGTGTGAGAGTTTTAGATGCCGTCCAGAGAACACCTAAGGCAAGACAGAAGGTCAAGCAGACACAGTGATCTCTTTGTTTCAGGTGTGTGTGTGAGTGTGTTTCTCAGTGAGCGCTGTGTCCTGCTGAGAACCTTATCTCAACCGCCACACAACTCGCCTTCATCTCCCAGCATGCATCTCTCTGAACCTTACTGTTCTTCCTCCAGACAGGTATTGCCTTTCATCTTCAAAACCCCAGCCATGTTTTCATCCATCAGAGCGCCACACGCTCACTCACACACACACACACACACACACACACACACACAATCAGAAACCCTGTTGAATCTTTTTGCCTCCTTTTGCTTTTGAGGACATTTTCAGAGGTGCTGCGTGTTTGTGGATAAAAAGTGTGGATTTATTTCTTCAGTTGCATTTGATACTGAATATCTTTTTCTTTGACAGTGCTAAAGTTTTCAATCCAGGGCTAAACGTAAACAACAGTAAACAACTGCGTGGAACTTCTTGATAAAAACAGATTCCAAGTCTGGAAACAGATTAAAGGATGCTAAGGACAAAAACAACTTGATCTCTGCTCCGAATCCTGCAACAAGCTGCCTTATCAGGAAGGCCGGAAGTCATCAAAGTATGTCTGAATGCAATGTTTGCATAACATCTTGTCTAATAAGCTGCTTTTATCTTTTTGGAGGTAGCATAGATATATCTCTCTTGGGTTGTCATATTCTTAGTGTACACTACAGGTAACAGGGTAAAAGTTTTAACTAATAAATAGCACCATACTTTCCACAGTTAATTCATCACAGTACATTAAAGGTGGGGTAAGCGATTTTACAAAAAAGCTTTAGAAAACTGATTCGGGCCGAGTAGCAAAACAAACTTGTAGCCAATCAGCAGTAAGGGGCGTGTCTACTCATGATGTGGAGGAGAGAGTGTTCAGTGCACAGGACGCACATTAGCCAAGCCGTGTGACAGAAAGATAGAGATGGCGGATAAAAAACAAAAGAGGAAAACGTCTGCGGAACAAAAGAAGGCTTACGATAAGGTAAGTAGGACCCGTGTAAATATCAGATAAGCTTTCCAGCGCTGGAGAGAACTCAAGGAGCGGAAGGCCTGCGATCGGACGCCGAGGTTGCTTTGTTTCTTCTCGATAGGTGAGTAACACCGTGTCTGCGCCTCAACAGCTAAAGTCTGTCTAGTACACTGGACGCGACAAAGAGACCGTTGAAAATCATTTGAAATTTGTGTCAATACGTCATAAATAGAACACAGCAGCAGTTTCCTGTCGGGGATTTGTCGTGTCGTGCCGCACCTCATCCAGTGTAGACCATAGATATGTATATATATATATATATCTGGTGTAGACAGCATCACTGATTATAATGAGTTCTATAGTATTTTGTCGCGCCGCGCCACTCGCATCCGGTGTAGACACGGTGTAACATTGGTTTTGCTTTGTTTCACAGAACTAATCGTTGCCTGGGTTGCATACGTATGTGTGGGGCGGAGCTATCAAAATAGTGGCGAGGCCCTTTTGGGGCGTGTTTGTTTTGGTGATTTCAAATGTCAACATTGGCTACCAGAAATCGCTTACCCCACCTTTAATGGTAGGGAAGGCGATTTCGGAGATTCTAGCAATAGCAAGCTAGCTTTGAAAGCATAAGATCCCACCCTCCCTGAAAATCACTCTCCAAAGCCACGCCTCTTCCAAAAGACATGAACGCGCACAGGCAGAGCAGAGGCTAACCAGCGACACGCTGAGAGACGGAGTTGGTGGAGGATTGAATGCAGCGCTGTCAGATTACCTCGTGTCTCATTCACCGGTGAGAAAACATTACAGTATAAAGCGCATAATATTACAATAATAACGCCTTCCATTCTCGCTCGGTCTGCAGTTAGCGTAATGGAACGTGCTGATGACGTATCATGTCTGCGCGAACAGAGTGCATGGAGATATGCAAATACCCATTTTGTATAGAATTTTACTAGATTATGTTTAGATACATACGTTGACAGGCAGGTAGGATATATTTTATATTTTTTTAATTTGTAAATAAGGTGAATTTACTTAAATATTTATCAGGCAAATTATATAGAAACCCTCAGAATATATATTGAGATGCACCTGTAGATTAAAAACTGCAAAGTCTGGTGTATACAAATGTTACTGAAGTGAAGATTTTGAGAATACAGCCTTTAAACATGTGTACTGTAATTGAAATCTACACATACAAATAGATAAAGTGTAATAAAATAAAAACTTAAATGTATATTTTGGATGTTGTCTTTCCACTAGTCTGACAGAAGTCTGACCCATGCCTGAAAAAAACAATGGTTTTGCCTGTAGTGTATTGCCTCAAACTGGTTTCAAACAAAAAATCCCTTCACCTTTCTGGGTTGTATCCCTCCATCTCTTCCAGAAAGGTATTGGTGTTGGAGTATGGGTTCTCCGGGCTGGGTGTGATGAGGAACTTGAGAACGGTTCCTCTGGTGGATCCGAGGAACACCACAGTCCGATTGCGGTGTGGGCCTGCCTCAGTGTCTACCACCATAGTGTTCAACTGGTACCTTTAAAGTGAGGAAAATAGAACAATATGCACACCATTACAGAAGCTTATTGCTTTTATAAAACAGTTGCAACATCAATATGATGAAAGACAATAAAAGACAAATTTTCAGCCAAGAATATATTTCACCATGCTAACTGTAAGCTGTTTACAGTAGCCAAATAAAACAGTGTTTTAAAATCAACACGAAACTGCATTTGCAAGCCATTTTGCAACCATAACGTGATATTTTTCCAAGAGAAACAGAATATTGAATAAGAAAAAAATGTAACCCTGTATTATTTTCCCCACCCACACGGCCTATTTACAATTCTGATGAATAAAACAGTCCTTTCAGAGGTAAATCAAGGTATTACAATTTGAACAAACTTTGCAAAGACATATTTTCTTTAGAACGGCATTCATTTATGAATTGTGCACCGGAACATTAAGAAAGTAAATAGGGTTCATTTTGATCCGTTGAATTCAGCTGATGGTCACATTTTGTCATTTAATAGCTTCAAACATAAATCAGATTTTAGTGCTGCCGCTATATGTTTTAAACCATTCTTGGTGTGTTATTCTTAATACAGCTTAAGAAATAATTAAAAAGGGATGTCAGAGATAAGATGTGTAAATACTCTCTCTGTTGAGACTTGAGAAGATTAGGTGTAAAAAGGCTTATTTGGATCAAAGTCAGCAAACACAACGGAGTTTCACCAGAGTTTCTGTGACGGCTCACACCAACTTTTACTTTCTGTGTACTTTTACTTGGTTGTAATTGTGAAAAACCTGAGCTGACTATTTTGCTTCAAGTCATTGAAATCTTTATGAAGAGTAATTCACTAACATTTATTCAAGATAAACATTCAGGCAAAATGGTCTGTTATTGAATATGAATCAAATGTACACCAGAGTACCACTCTCCTTTGTGTCAATTCACTTCTAGTTATCATGAAGGAACCCAGTGGCCATTTCAATCCAATTTTTAAAAGCGATTTGATTTATAGCTATATTTTTACTCCTTGCAGAGAAGCTTTGCTTTGGTTCTGCAAGCCTCAGGCAATTTACTCTCTGCAGAAGCACTTCTGGAGTTCAGATTTATATTTTAACTAAGGTTTTTTTCCCCCTCGCTAACCTTGAGAGACACTGTAGGAACGCTCTTAACAGGAATGCTCACAGAATGATGTCCTTTGAGTGTCGGTGCTGCTAACATTAGCCATACTACAGCAGAGTTCGGGCTCCTGATATCTCAACCAATTTCAGTTTAAGCAGCACGGCTTTTAGCAGGCCTTGAGAATTATGTTTCACCTTTTCAACTCTCAGCAACACACTTCATATAACAAGCATCTTGTGGTTTATTGATATTTTTCCGTAACACCTGTGTTGTGTAGCTGTACGCATCTTACCGGACCATAGTCTTGACTATCCACGGTCTGTGTCCAAGCAAAGGTACCGCTTCATCCATCAGAGGATGAGTTTTGATGAAATTCAGCACTTCATTAGGAAGGGTGTTGGAGGAGCTGAATCTCGACCCCTGGACAGCACATCCTCCAGGCCTAGAAAAGTAAAAGAACCACATTACTGATACAGTGATGCTTCACTAATTAACGCTTGACATTTCAAGCTACAAACCAGAAGAAGGCAACTAGCTATCAAGCGGTCAATTGGTAGAATGATGGATGGATGGATGGATCGTTAGAAAGACAGAATGATGGATGGGTAGAATGATAGAACGATAGAGGAATGGATAGATCAGTAGAATGATAGAATGGTGGATGGATGGATGGATTGATGGATAGATCAGTAGAATGATAGAACGATGGATGGATTGGTAGAAAGATTGAATGATGGATGGATGGATGGGTAGAATGATAGATGGATGATAGATCAGTATTATGATAGAATGATGGATGGATGGATAGATCAGTAGAATGATAGAACGATGGATGGATGGGTAGAATGACAGAACGATAGAGGAATGGATAGATCAGTAGAATGATAGAATGGTGGATGGATGGATGGATAGATCAGTAGAATGATAGAATGATGGAGGGATGGATGGATGGATGGATGATCAGTAGAATGATAGAACGATGAATGGATGGATTGGTAGAAAGATAGAATGATGGATGGATGGATGGATGGGTAGAATGATAGATGGATTGGTAGATCAGTATTATGATAGAATGATGGATGGATGGATAGATCAGTAGAATAATAGAATGATGGATGGATGGATGGACGGATGGATGGATCAGTAGAAAGTTAGAATGATGGCTGAATGGATAGATCAGTAGAATGATAGAACGATGGATGGATGGATGGACGGGTGGATCAGTAGAAAGTTAGAATGATGGATGAATGGATGGATCGGTAGAGATAGAATGATGGAAGGATGGATGGTTAGAATAATAGAACAATGGATGGATGGATTGGTAGAAAGATAGAACGAAGGATGGATGGATGATAGATCAGTAGAATAATAGAACAATGGATGGATGGTAGAAAGATAGAACGATGGATGGATGGATGGACGGATGGATGGATGGACGGATGGATGGATGGACGGATGGATGGATGGACGGATGGATGGATGGACGGATGGATGGATGGACGGATGGATGGATGGACGGATGGATGGATGGACGGATGGATGGATGGACGGATGGATGGATGGACGGATGGATGGATGGATAGATCAGTAGAATGATAGAATGAAAGATGGATGGATAGGACAGATCAGAAGAATGATAGAACGATGGATGGATGGTAGAAAGATAGAATGATGGATGGATGGATGGATGGATGGGTAGAATGACAGAATGAAAGATGGATGGATAGGACAGATCAGTAGAATGATAGAACGATGGATGGATAGACGGAAGGATGGATCGGTAGATAGATAGATAGATAGATAGATAGATAGATAGATAGATAGATAGATAGATAGATAGATAGATA